GCGCGCGCGCCATACGCACCATACATGCACGAATACATATCTACATATCTATATACTCACCATACACATCTATATACTCACCATACACATTTGTTTTTATTATATACATCTATATACATCTATTTACTATATATATCTATTTTTGTTATTTTTTTGGAATTCATTTTTGAATTAAAAATTCACACTTTTTTTATTTAAGGTTCTTGCTGATTCACTGTAGTCATCTTAAATTATGATGTTAGAAGCGAGAAAAAAAAGGTGAAATTTTTTGCAAAATAAATTAAGACAGAAACGTTTTTCGATAAAATAACCGTTTTCAATAATTGTTTTCATTTGATAGAACAAATTTGTAAAGTATAAGTTCTTCTTTCATATCATTAATCAATAAAAAAATCACATATTTAGAATTGAATTATAGCTTTCTTCTTGATTAAGCACAATTTATTTTCTTAGTATGTGATATTTATTGATTGTTGGAGTTTCGGAAAGAAAGGGAGAGTTTTCGGTATAATTTACAAGTTTATTCCATTGAGTGTAAACGTGATTTTGAAAAACATGATTGAAAAATATTTCTATTTTAACTATATTTCTATTTTAACGTATTTTATAAAAATTTTTATTATGTATTTTCTCGCTTCTAATGTCATAATTCAAGATGCACTGAATTGGCAGGAGTTTTATTAATCTAATTATTGTTATTATTGTTTTATATTTAAAAAATATTGATTTTTCAGTACATTTCGACAGTTTTTTCATATATGGCATTTGTGCGTATCATTATGGATCAAGAATAGAAAGAAAATAAAAATTAGGATAAAAATGTACAAATTATATTTTTATTATGAAGTGTCTATTATGTAGAGCTGCAATACTGTAATAAAAATTTGCATTTGTAAGTAAGAATAGAAGACTATATTGATTATATTATGTATATATAAAATTATTAAATTATCAATGGAATTGACAAGTACATAGTATTTATATATATATATTTGTAATTATTAATTTTATTTATAATAATTAATATTATAATTTATAATAATTAATACAAATTATATTTTTCTTTCAAATAATTTAAAAAAAAAAATTAACTAAACATAGATACATATTTCATACACATACGTATGCACGCACATATATAATTGCAATTTCTAAATTATTTTATTCAATAAAATAATGTGTAATTTAACATAAGATAAAATATATAAGGTGTCTGACTCATAATGGTACACCGCTGGTGTGCAGATAGAAGCGGTCAAACTGAATAGAAAAGTCTTCTACCATTTTGTGATTTTGACAATTAGTTAATAATTAATAATTAATAACTTGTCACGTCTAATGTTACGCGCGTTCGCAATTGCTACGAACGCGATGAAATGTTTCGAGGATGTGCATGTTTATAAGCAGATGTTTTGTCATTTGTAGACTTCATGTCTAAATATCTCGCCGCGAACACGCATAATATTAGGCAGTGACATTTCGCTGTGTGCTTGGCATTTGCCGGGGTGGATACGCATTCATTTGACAATTGTTAATAATTAATAACTTATTACTAATTGCAAACATCACAAAACGGTAGAGGACTTTTCTGTTCAATTTGATCCGTTCTACCTGTTCACAAGCGGTGTATCATTATGAATTAAACATTCTATATAATTGGTATATTAGCTTTTTCCTTCCATTATTTTTATACAGAAAGATAACATTATGATAATAATAATAATCCTAAATAAATAATATAATTTTAATAAAGACGTATCTTTACATTTAATAATTATGAGATATTATCTTGTTTTTCACATTCTTCTGATTATCTCAATTCTATAGTTTTTCTTATTTTTCAACTTCTATTCACAAATCGAAAACGTAAAGGTCTGTTTGGTACATTTATCATAAGAAATCGACTTCGGATTTCTGCATAATCGTACTCAATTGTGAATTCTCGTACCAGCTATAAAAGGTAAAATACAAATTTCAAATTTATATTTTTATATTACTTCTCCACATATTTATGGCTTATTACATATAAAATTCATTACTTTTGCAGTAAGTAACATCATCTGTGTTTCAGCCATACTTTTTCCTAAACAAGATCGTACACCGTAACCAAAAGGTAGACATGAATATTCTTGATAATTATTATATGCATATTCATCGAAATTTAACCATCGTTCTGGTTGATATTTTTCAGGATCTTCAAAATGTTCCTCACGTTGTGATGTTATTTGATTTGCCATTATGACGAAAGTCTAAAAGGTAAAAATTATCCATTATATCATATTTAAATTCGAACAAATACTCACAACTTACTCCTTTCGGTATTGTATATCCATGTAACGAAATTGCCGAAGGCAACAATCTCGTCAAATACGGAAATGCTGGTCGCAATCTTTTACAAAAAATATATATACATATGAATAAATATACAATATTTATACATTTACATTTTTATACATAAAGCATATTTGTTTATACGTTTAGTTTGTGCTTTTGGCGCTTTTTATGAGCAATAATTTATAATTATTTTAAAATTGTACAAACTAATATGATAAAACAGTTATTTTAATTTTTGTTACCGAAGACTTTCCTTGATGCATGCCTTTAAATATGGCATATTTTCCAAGCTTTCTTTTGTCAAAGTATATTTTATTTTAGGTGAAATAGAAATTATTTCGTTATACAATCGTTTCTGTATTCTTGGATTTTTTGCTAAAAAATAAAGTAGAAACGCCTCGCAATTAATGATCTGAAATTTTAAGATTAGTTATTTACATTCTTATTACAATTATATCAGATTATTATATATTACAGCTTGAACGCCTAGAATAATCATGTCCATCAAGAGGATAGAAATGTCATTTGGATCAATATGCTGAATTATCATTTTTTCGAGTAATGACAAATTTCTTTTTTCAATTGTAGATTTTTCTTGTTTTGATGAAGTTTGCAATTTAGTCTGCGCTTGACGAATATATTTTCCAATAATTCTAGAATAAAAATTCAGAAATAAATATTACTCGAAAAATTAGTAAAATAAAATATTAAAATAAAAAAAATTTTCTTAGTGGCGTAATAAAATAAATAATATATTAAATAAAATTTGTGATTGTACATATACACATTTATTACATATAAAAAGTAAGATAAGCTTCTTAAAAGTCGCTATATTTTGTTAACTCACTCATCAAGAACATCGCAAGCTGCATAAAGTTTTTTGGCAAATGGAGTTTCAAAGAATCTCCACACCTGAAATCCAGTTTCGCAGCGACTCATATATGTATGAGCAGTGATTAATGCATTAATAATTTTTGTGGCTTCGGAGGTTGATTTTGACGTAGAATCAAGAAAACCAAGGTGTTTGTTAAACATTGTCACATAGAAGCATTCCATACCCCACGCAGTGAGTTCTCGATGAAAATTCGTAGGCACCTATTATTCAAATATTAACAAAAATATTGCTTCTTAAGCTATATATTCTCTACATATTTGCTGGTTGTACATAATGAAGTTGTGTTTGTTTACTTGTCACAATTTACTTGCTATAATTTGTTTATTATAATTTTATGGCTCAGACATATATCCATAAAATTATAAACAATAAACAAATTATAGCAAGTCTGAGTTGCTCATATATAACACATTATTTTATATTTAAATCATAATATCATTTATATAAAAAAATAAGTTGGATTTAGACAATTGATATTATTGTATATTATTAATTATTTATTATTTATTATATATAAATGGTCTACCTCATCTTGGCGATTGCGTATATTATGAATTCTGTTAATAAGTTCGTCACACACTGAATCCAGTTTTTCAATATAATCAGAAGTAATTTCATGAAACGGTTGATCAACTTTCTTTTTTACTTCTAACCATTCTGAACTTTGCCTGTATTTTATATTATATGTTATAATATATATTATTATATATTATATATTATTCTTACAGAATTGAGATGTTACTTATAATAATAATATATACATGTACATTAAAAAAAGTAAATGTAACACCATTATTGTTTCAGTTACTTTTTTTTAATAATAAATTGATAACAACGTTGTATTTTTTTTATTAGTAACGATAATAATAATGCAATTACATTTTCAAGATGACGAATAATCGTTTCTTGTATTGTTTGTATGTAATTATTATACATTATATAAATGCATATATAAATGGAATGATACAAACAAGTTCTAAAAAATGGTCTTTAAAATTTGGTGAAAATTGCAAGAAATGTAGACTAAGGCTTATTAAATATATAATTTAATATAGAATAAAAATTGTTAAATATATCCAAAAAAAGAATGTCTGTGCTAGATTTATACAAAAAGATTAACATATAAATAAAAATATAATATAATCTTCTTGCAGATATAAACTATATTTTTATATAAAACTTACAAAATTTTTATACAGATAAAATATAGACAATAAAAAAGGTATTCATACATTTATTTTTTTTAAAAGCAAATGTTTTTTAAGATTCTTTTTGACTTTTTGCAACTATCTTGAACAGACAAAGAAACCACATGAATTAATACTTTTATTGTAACATATTTTATAAGAATTTTTATCATGTATTTTTATTGTTTCTGATCTATTGTATCATAATTCAAGATATTATATCAATGAATCAATTATAATGAGTCAACAGGAGTCTTAAGATATCACTGTGTTTTTGTACAAATCATGATATCATGTTTTTTTGTACAAATTAAATTTATTATTTCATGTACTTTAATAATTGTATTAAATTCTTTTTAAAAACAATTGTATTATACGTACAGAGAAAATGCTCCAGCGGAACGATATTTGTGATGATTAAGGCGGTAATGTTGAAGGATATCAATACCACTACGAATAGGTAATTTACTTTCCTGTTTAAAAACTTCTGCTATATGCTCGGGTCTAAAAAGAAAGATGAATTAATTATCAAGAAAAATTGAAATTATAATAAATCTTACCGGTGAATCATAACTATATCATTCACAAGTGGTCCGTTAATTCGTACGATACATCCATATTCATCAAACAAGAACTTAATTGGTGTGACATTGCGATTCCATGATAATCGACCTACAACATAACATATTAAGTTATCCTTAATTAATTTAATTTAAATTGAAAAGTTCTTTTTCTTATATTATTTAATTAACTTGTTATTATTTAATTATTTAATTAACTTATTTAATTAACTTGTTTAATCGTTTTTCAATTATCAATTATACTAATTAACTTCTATAAAATTTTGATAATATTTTTATTTATTTTTGGAGTATTACTCTAGATACATGTTATATCATATCAATAAAAATATATATTTTTTTTTAATAAAAAAGAAAATAATTTTTTTCTAGCCTTTCTTTAATTTTTTTATCTACTTATCTAATAAAGACATACGTTATATATATATAAACATATAATGTACAAATTATTTGAATATATATATATATATATATATATATATATATATATATATATATATATATA